GAAGGAGGGCGAAGGTGGAGACCGCGCTGCCTTTGTGCCCTGGTTGCAGGAGCAGGCCGAGTTCAAGAACCTTGGCATCGACGCGTGCGCCGTCGCTGGCTGATCGAGCTGGGCGCGCTGGTCAAGGTTCAGGAGGTCTGAGGGCGAAGGTCGGGGAGGGGGTGGCTTCTGACTGCGTGCTTGGGCTTCCCCCCCTTGTTCCCGTAGTGGCCCCTTGGGGGCCGCGGCCCTTCGGGGTCGGGCGCCCGCTGCCCTCCTGGTGGCGGGTTTGTTTTTGGCGCGGTTTCCGCGCCCCGCAGTGGGGGGCTGGTCTCTCCCCTGCTGCCCTCCGCGCCCGTCGTGGCGAGCGATTCCGATGGGCTTCGATTTAATCAGTCTCGACCTCCTCCTCCTCCTCCCCCTCCTCCTCCTTCCTCCTCCTCCCCCTCCTCCTCGTCAGTCTGCCCGAGGTGTTTAAAGTCGCCCGACGCGTTCAGACGCAGGATCTACGAATGCGAGATGAACGACAGCGTCCCCATCGAAGTTGAAGTCAAATCCCAATCGACCTGCAGGAAGCGTTGGATGAAATGCACGAGGAGCCAGTTGCGGAGGCGTTCTGGCTGCGAGGGCTGCTGCCGCGACATCGCAAGCCGGTGCCAGAGCGGCCTGCTTGGGAAGATTAGGATGGGAGCTATTGGACTACTGCAGCGGAAGGCCCAAAGGTTATTCCTCGGAATCTGGTGACCATCAACCCCTTCAGCTGCGCCGCGACCTTCTTGGGCGGTTCGGGGACCAGCGGCGACGCGCGGGTCGGCGGGGTCGGATGGGATCTCGCGCCGCAAATTAATGCGAGAGACGTGAACACCGACCAGGACTTGGACGGCCGCGGTGGCATGGCGTCCGTTTGGGAGAAGAAAACCCGACCCAGGAGAGCGAGATAGAACTGGCGGCTGTGACAAGGCCGACTGAGGATGATATCGAGCACGCCCACAAATATAGCATGCGCGACATACGTTCGCGGGCGGCAACTTGGACAGTGGTCATGGCCTGGACGAGACCAAGAACGCCTACAACTGGAAGATGCCGTGCGCGCCGTGCATGGAGCAGTGCTTGCGCCGGCCGCGACGCGCGGCCCTCCTCCGCCTGCTGCAAGGCCGCTGCCAGACCATGAACGTCGGCTAGATAGCGAAGGATATATGCGACATGCAGTGGAGGGCCTCGAAGAAGCGAAGAAGGGAAGTCTGCGGTTGCCACGTCCGCTCACTGGTTGGGGGAAGAAGCCTATCTGGCACATCGGAGATGAAGTCGCTATTTCGCCGGCTTCTCCAAGACCGAGCCCCCGCCTTTGAGGGCGGTCGCCCGGGGCATTATGGCGACGGCGACGCGGGGGCCCATGCCCTTTGGCAGAGCTTGCCAGGATATGCACAGCACAGTCAACCACGACATGCAGTCACCGCTGGCGCCATCCCCGAGACGGACCGCGTCGGGTTCTATGGCGACGTGGACGGCGAGCAGAGCGTGCCTGCAGCGGAGCGCTCAGGTCTTCTGGGCCCTAGCCCTCGCCAGAGGCCCGATCGCGATCTGCGCGGACTGCTGGCAGGTCGTGAACGCTTGGGTTCAGCATTCTTGTCTGCGGCCCTGCGGAGCTATGCGAGGATGGCGGCAACGAGTTGGACCAGTGCTATTCGAGCGTCCTCGAGGGGCCCGCGCAGTGCAGGTGGTCAACGGCCTCTCGCATCTTGATCAAGAATCAATCCAGCAGTCGGGCCAATCCTGCGAGACCAGCTTGCGCAATGAACTGGCAGGCGCCGTGGCGCAGCGCGGGGCGGAGTTGACCATGGCAGACATGCGTGACGAGGCCGAGCAGTTCATGGAGATCGAGACCTTGTTCAGAAGTGCCTGGCGCAGAGCAGCCGCCATCGCGCGTGACGCATGCAAGGGCGCCGGCCCGGCCATGCATGAACGACCTCGGCAGGCGCCCAGCAAGGTGGCCCGCGAAAGACGTCGCCACTTTGCACGTAAATCAGGACATCACATGAAGAGAAAAAGAGAAAGAGAGAGAGAGAGAGAGAGAGAGAGAGAGAGAGAGAGAGAGAGAGAGAGAGCGAGAGAGAGAGAGAGAGAGAGAGAAAGTGACAGGCCAGTGGGTTTGCCGAGGATGCTGGATGTCGCCTGGCCAGTGCAACGTCGTTGATTGGATGGGAGCGAGTGTGTGCGCGGGGCGGTTACATGAAACCCGCCGAACTGACCGTGGACATGCGGTGCCGGTTCCAAACGACGAGATGGTAGAGATCAAAGGCAAGGTCATCCACTTATACCACAACATCGCGGTTTCTCATGGTCGAGTCTGGTGCTGGAACTGCGCGATGGTGCCCTCGCGCAATGACGAAGGGCATGGCAGGGTGAATTCACGGGCGAAGGAGTGCAGGGACAAGACCGCCCCAAATGGAGAAACGGTCCTACAACAACTACGCCAAAGGCTACCACCGAAGGCGGGCCAGGACTGGCCAGATGGGGCAGTGCCACTGAACGGCGGCAAGATACTACGTATGGCATCTGGGCGGCGACGACGTGGTTGACTGCGCGGCTTGGGGCTGCGGCCCCGCAGATTTATTCTGCCTTGGAGTGGCAGTGAGATGGAGGCCCGCTCTGTTTCTGGGGTGGGGTCGCGACCTCTGAGATACTCGGTCCTGGAACGGCAGTGGGGTGGAGGCCCGCCCTGTGTCTGCGGTGGGCTCGCGACCTCTGGCCCGCGCAGCTTGCGCGGCATGGCGCGGGGCAGCGGCCCCGCATCACGTACTCTGCCCTGGGGGTGGCAGTGAGGTGGGGACCTGCCTTGTCGCTGGGGTGGGCTCGCGACCTCATGAGGCCCCCGCGGTCGGCGCGGGCAGGGGGCGCGACGGCGGAATCGACCGCGTTGCCCTCCATCTCTAGTCGTCGAGTCCTCCTCCTTTTCCTCCTCCTCGTCCTCCTCCTTCTCCTCCCTCCCTCTCTGCCTGCTCCCCATGCTCGCTGCCCGCCAACAACACAGCTCCCCAATCAACTCTTGTATCTGTTTATCCACGGGATCGAATGTGGTCCCACTGCCGCAACAGGCGTGGCGGCTGAACTTTTATTGTCCCCTTTCGGGTTCCTGTCGCAGCTCCGATCTTCGGGGACCTCGATCTTGACCTTCGAACATCGATATCTTTGGGAACAAGTTTAGCATCTTCTTTGGACCCCGCAGTTTAAGATCCTCAGGGGTTTATTCTCACCGGCAACGGGCTAGGTATGTTTGGATTCCAGGATCCCAATTTACTTCAAACGCCTTCTTATTGCAAACATCGAGCGGTTTTCCCTTCTTCCCTCCTCTTCAGGGGGCGGGTGGGGGCCCAATCCAGTTCCAACGCCTTCCAACTTCATGTTTCTACCCATTTCCCCCGACGGAATGGGGACCCAGGGGCAACGCTGGGGGGGATCGGCTGAGGGGCAACGTTTTTTTGGGTTGTCGCCCTGCCTGGGGCTGGAGGAGGGCGGAGGAGCGGCAACGACGGGGGGGCCTGGCACAGGCTCGAGGCGTGAGGCCACTGGACGTTCCCATGGGGTTCCCGGCGGCGGGCTCCCGGCTTCGGGATGCTCTCCAGCGGCTGCGCCCCGCCGAGGCGTTCCAGTGCTGTCCAGGTCGTCCTGAACGGCCGCCGGAGGCTCGAGTTGTGGCCCGAGAGCCACCGGGGACGGGGATTCGCTCGCGGGGGCGCATCGACCCCCAATCACACACTGCTCGCCGGTAGGGGCCCGATCGCCCATTCGCCCAGGACCGTGCGGATAGGCTATCGGGTGCGTATCGCCCCGACCCATCGGCGATGCATCGCCGATTCCAGGCCGATGTATTTCCTCCGAGCCAGTCCCACCCCTGAAGTTCTCCTTCACTTGCACAGGCCTCTTCGCGACGACGGATGGTTTCTGAGCCTTTCGGTCTCCTTGGAGTTCTGCCGGGCCCCATGGCCGTCAAGAAACAGCTCGGGATAACATCGAAGAAGACAAGAAGGCATGAAGACGCACATTCGACATTCCACGCTGCTTTCTTGGATCTGCGCTGGCCCCCCCCTCTCTTGCGCGCGGAGCGCGCAGGGGGCTGTGCTGGAGGCGCCGCCAGGGGGAACCCAGATCCAAAAACTCCGCGCGGACAGCTGACAGTGTATGTTTATGCTGCTTGCCCCCCCCCTCTCGAGTGATGTGCTCCCCCCCCGCCCCGCCCCCCCTCGGCTGTCCGCCCCCCTTGCCTCCGCCGAGTCGTGCGGATGAGGATGTCACCCGAGGTGTCCCTGGAGCAGCACGGCTACGTCGCCGAGCGCCGCCTCGGCGGCTCGTCCACGGCGGACGTGCTGGTCGTCAGCAGGCTCGGGCAGCCCGGGGAGCTGAGCGTGGTCAAGTCGATGGCGCTGCGGGGCCTGGACCCCGAGGGAGAGAAAACGGCACGGGCGCAGACTTTCGGAGCTCCGCGCGGATGCCTCGGATGGGCGCTGGGCCCCTCTGGCGGCGATTCCGCGCGCCAGGGAGGGGGGGGCCCGGGCTCCGAACGTGTGTGCTTGTGCCGTCTCCTCTTCCTCCAGGACCCCAGGGAGCGGATGCGGGTGCTGCAGGAGATGGGGCGACGAGATCTGTACATATCCACTGCCTCTGGCCTGGCCCATCCTGGGCCCAGTATGGGCTAGGCCTGCTCTGCGTTTGGTGGGGGCGCCACCCCCGCCGATAGCCTCAAATCGACCCCTGTTGCTGGCACACGTTGCCGCGCCAAAAGTGACCCCCACGGCGGTGCGCCGACGAGGCCACTATGGCGCGGCGATGTCGACCCCCGTCGGCCCACGCCACCCGCCACAAAAACCAGACCCCCGGCCCACGGGCGCGGACAGGTCGATGTTGGCCCCCGTCGGGGGGGGACCCCACGCGCACTCACTGTTACCAAGCGCAGAGCACGTCAAGTCAAGACGCTGACCTACGGACCGCTTTGGGCTCAGGAGGGGTTCTGTGTCGTGGAGCCTGTTCGTGGCAGAGGCCCGCCGTGGCCAGACGAGCCCCTTTGTTCCTTGTGATGCGTTCCCTGTGGTAGCACGCTGAGTGTACTCTGGATGGGGCAATCATCGCCCCCCGCTGGGTCCGCTGGGGGGTTGGGCACGTGCTGTCGGAACGGGTGGAGGGGGTTGGAGGAGGAGGAGGAGAAGGAGGAGGAGGTGGAGGAGGAGGAGGAGGTGGGGGGGATGGGCAAGCTCCGTCGGAAGGTTAGTCGCCCACTCCTCGATTAATATACCATCCAGAGTTCCTTGTGGCAGCACGCTGAGTGTACGGATTTCGCTGCCTCAGGAGATCAAGATCCTGAAGCGGCTCCGCCACCCGAGCATCATCCGCTACGTCGAGAGCTGGTGGAACGGGGTCGGGCCCGAGAGCGGGCGGCTCACGGTCGTGATGGAGTTCGCGGAGGACCGGGACCTGCGCGAGCCCGTGAACGCCTCTCGGGCAGGTGGTGGTTGGGGGTGACCTAAGTGGGGTGTGACGAAAAGGGCCCTGGGCGTGGGCGTGGGGAGGCTTTCTCTCAGCATCGTTTTGTTTTTGATCCTCTGGCGCTGAACGGTCATTGCCTGAGCCCCCACCCTCCCCAGGTATGGCAAAGATCGTACTTCTGGGGGGGGGGGGGCTGGAATCTCCTCCACGTGCAGGAGCTCGCGCGCTTTCTATGGCGATGGCAGCGCACCCCCGCCCCGACGCGCTCCACGTCGCCCAAGCGTTACTGCTACCCGGGGCCCCAGCCCTCCCACCCCCTAGGGATAACGACCGCTACGGGAATTACAGTAGAGGCCCATGCCAAGGAACACCCTGCTTGCCTCCAGGGTGCCCTGGGTTTCTCCGGCGTCGATGGTTTCGCTACGGAAGGCGTGACGTTCCCACACCAAAAATCAATGGATGTCCTGGGGTCTCAGTATTGGGTGTCTTGTGGAAGGTTTCTCATGGTCGGGCTCCTACTTTAAAGGAACCAGTTCCTTCACCCCCCATTCAGGTCACCCCCCATTACCACCCGCCCGAGCCTCCCTGCGCCTCGGCACGGCCATCGACGACGCGCTGGTGCTCGAGGAATAATTCAGAGGGAGGAGAAGATACACGTGCCGCTACCTTTTCCTCGTTTGCCAATTTCTGGGCCTCCTGGGAGGCCCTCGTCGTCACCGCTGGGTTCGCCTCGAACTTTTGATCAGATCGCACCCCTGGAGAGGTCCGGCGAGTGGCGGTATCGGTACGTTCTGGTTTTTCCAAGAATTTTGAAAAACAGAGCATGCAATATCTCAACTTCTTGACGGTCCGCGCTCGGGGGTCTGGGCGCCTTGGATCGGCGTCTGTTCCCCTCTCGCGCTGGGGAGGGGGGTCCCGCGCCGATCCAAGGAATCCGCGCGGACCGTTGAACATCTATACTCCGCCGTTTCTCTTCTTCTCATTGCACCAGCAGTAGAGTGGGAACCTTGCATGGTCGGTTCATCGGTGGCAGATCATATGCGTGAGTGTATGTGCAACAGCACGCCAGCGTCAGATTCGGTAGGCGGGTGCTGATGAGAATTGTATGGTCAGCGTCGCTGGCGCCGTGGGCGGGTTTTTTTCAGCTCTGAGCAGCGAGAGTGAAGAGAGAAGTCGAGGAGTGGGAGGTCGGCCATCTGTGGGGGGGCAGGGGCGAGAGCACGGCCATCTACACCTTAGTGTGTGTAATTTTATAGGGGATCGTGGCCGTGCGGACCAACCATGTGGCCGGCGTCGAAGTGAGAGCCTGATTCCTGAATCGACTGTGAGGAAGTCTTGTTCGAAGCGGCTGTGGGTCCAGGCCCCTGTGGGCTCCCCCGTGGTGTTCTTGACAGTTCGTTCGCAGCCTTTGGCGTAAGTTCCCTCAGGGGAGATGCGGCACAAGCATACATTGTCGCAGGTCCGCGTGGCTTTCTTGGATCGGCGCTGGACCCCTCTCCAAGGCGCGCGAGCGGTTTTGGGGCCTGGCGGATTCAACGGAGGAGCAAACACTGCATGGACATGGACTTTTGGAGGTCCGCGCGAATGTCTCGGATCGACGCTGGGTCCCCATCCCTGGCTCGTGGAGGTGCCCGGGTGGCCCCGGCGCCGATCCAAGAAATCCGCGCGGAGCTCCGAAAGTTTACATTCTATGCATTTTTTTCTTCAGGTGCTGCTGTGGCTGCGCCAGATGCTGGAGGGCCTGTCGTACGTTCACGGGCAGAACATCCTCCACAGGGACCTGAAGAGCATGAACGTCTTCCTCAAGGATCGAGCGGACGGCAACGGGGGGGCATACATAGCCACATTGAGGCGAGCACCGCCTAGGCTCCAGAGTATTTCAGAGCACGTCCTGTTCTCTGTTCAGGAACCTTGGGCATTTCGGTGTTGTGAGTGAGTGTTATTTATTTATGTATTTATTTATTTATCTATTTATTTATTTATTTATTTATTTATTTATTTATCTATTTATTTATTTATTTATATATATATATAGATATATAGTTATACAGGACTGCATTGGCGCTTCGCGCCATGCACTTTGGTCCTTGAAGTTTGGTGTGTAGGTGGAACGGCTGGAAAGTCAAATCGACAATCTAGCGATACTAGCGATTACGCCTTGTTGCCATTTCCGGCATCGCCGTTATGATAATGTGATTCCTGATCTTTCTTCCATGTTTCTTTTTCCTCATTCTCGCCCTACCCTGCGTATTTTCCCCATCCTCAGCTCTTTTTGCGGGGGCTCCTCCTTGGAGAGCCTCTGGTAGCCTCACAGAAGTTTTTCAGGAGGCTTCCCGGGCGTCTCCTGGGGTCATTTGGATGTTTCCTCGGACCACCTTGCCTCCAACCGCGGTCTCCCTGAACGATCGGGTCACGATTTGGAACACCTCGGATGGTGTTTTGGGGCCATCTTGGGCGGTCCTGGGGCTTTCTTTGGTCATCTTGGAACCCTGTTGTGCCGTCTTGGGGCTCTCTTGGACTGCCTGGAAACCCTTTCGGATGGTTGTCGGGCGATTTTCGAGCCTCCCAGGCGGCTTCGGAAGCCCAGAGGACCGCCGTCTTGGAGCGTCGGGAAACCAAAAAGAGGAGAACCCCCAAATTCACCAAAAGCCAACAGAAAATCAATGAATGTTGCCCCTTGGGGCCTTCTTGGGAGTGCTCTTGGAGGCCTCTTCGGACGTTTTGGAGCGATCTTTGGGGATATGACGGCTTCTTTGGGGTCGTCGTGGGCCGTCTTGGGGCTCTCCGGGGTCGTTTCGGGAGCGCGCTGGAACGCCTGGAGCCCTCTGGGGCCGTCTTTGGGCTGTCGTGGGGTTCTCCGGGGGGGGGGGGGGCGCTTTATCTTCCGGGGTCCCAGGCCTCACATATATATATATATATATATATACACATATATACACATTTATTTACATATATATATATATATGAATAGGAACATATATATATGATTAGGAATATATATATATATATATGTATGTGTGTATATATATATATATATATACATATATATGTGGGGATCGCGGACTGGTAGAGTGGCCCTAAATTTGCTCTACACGGCCCCTCAGCTGCGCCGCGGGCCTTGACAAGGTGCACGAAAAAAGGTGCGCGCTTCTTCGCCCCACGTCCGCTGCCCTCCGCGAGCGAGCTCCCGAGAGGAGAGCTGGCGCGTCTGCCTGCTCGGTGACTTCGGCATCTCCACGGCCCTCAAGGACGGCGAGTCTGGGGCCTCGGGCTGCGTGCCGGAGGGTTCCAAAAGGGTATTTTTTGGGGAGGGGGTTTTCAGAGAGCTCCCCAGGGGCCTCGGAACTTCGTCAAGACAGGGGGATGCGCAGCCCCTGGGGGACCCCTCCTGGAGAACCCTTTCACCAAAAACCCCCTTTGGAACCCTCCGGGCGTGGGCACGCCGGGCTACATGGCGCCGGAGCTGGTGTACAACCAGAGGTACTCGTTCGCGGTGGACATGCGGAGGGGGGGCGCGCGTCGAGACCACGGGGGCCCCTGCCTGGCTTTTTGGTCCGTCCTTCGCGGGCCTCCCGGAGGCTTCTCGTCGCCACGGTCGGATCCGCCTCGAGGAACGGGCCAGGCTGGACCCATGGAGGGGTCCAGGGTTAAGTCGGGCCTGTCCCTCTACAGGAGGAATATTCAAAAATAGTACACAAATAGTCTTGGGACGATTTTTTGACCTTTTTTGAGCATTTCACTGTATTTTTGGAGTATTTTTCATTTTTCGTTTAAAATCGGCCTGCAGGGGGACAGGCCCGACTTAGTCCAGGAGCCGATTTTAAGCCGACCGGGGCCGGGCGCGGGAGCCGCCGTCGTATCAAGTGGTCCTCCTCCGAGACATGTGGGCCATCGGCGTGATCCTGTACGAGCTCATGGCCCTTCGCCTGCCGTTCAGGGCCGAGTCGCTGTTGGCGGTCGTGTACCAGATCGCCTTCACCAGTCACGACGAGGCGGATGAGGAGGAGGAGGAGGAGGAGGAGGAAAAGGAGGAGGAGGAGGAGGAGTAAAAGTAGGGAGGAGGGAGGAGGGATAATGGAGAATGGAGGAGGAGGAAGAGGAGGAGGAGGAGGAGGAGGAGGAGGTGTTTCAATATGGGCCCCATGCTGCTTGCAACTGTCGGCGTTGTGGCTCGAGTCCATACGCGCCTGTTGGCGGTGCAGGACACGACTGTTTACTTGGCACTCCGCTTGTTTAAAGGGGTCTCTTATCATTACCATCGTTCTGTTAAAGTTGTATTGTATGGCAGCAAGACCAGGAACAGGAATACCTATTTAGCGACTATGAGTTTGTCAAAGCCGCACCGCCAGCCAACCTGACGTGATGACACATTATTTGGGCTAGCAAGAGCGCGCAGGCAGCCAGTAGTTATGAATCGTCATGCGTTGTCGATGATGTTTTTGTTTGGCAAGTCCATCGCGGCGTCACTGAACATCATCAGCCAGGAAAGCAGGCACGATACGGTAACGACAGCGGTTCGACCAAGAATCGCCGAAATGGAAAAAACGGAAAAAGGATGGACACGCACCTGTTTTTCGCCCAAATGGCAACCAGTTTTGGTTCAAGCAAACACAGGAAGCACCAGAGACCCATGAGTGAGACCAATGCAACTCAACCCCTGAAGGGTTTCAATGGAAACAGGACCAGCTTCCGCAAATTGCATGAGCGATTATTCGACGCGCTGGGCCAGGTCAACAATGGAAATCGCAAGGCCTTCAGAACGCTGAACTCAAATCTGAAGATTATGTATGGAGCCGTCCCGGACCCCAGTGCGGAAGGAGACGGGACAAGGATGCTGGGCGGGCGCATGACGGCTGCGGAATACAATCGCGCCAGCCTTGAGAAACAAAGGTTGGACAACCAAGGGGAAAGGAAAACACCTGGACGAAGGTGGGGTCGCCCTGTTAAATGAAAACCTGTGGCGCGTCTTCACAGAGAAATTCGAAAGCATTGAGGCGCAAGGGAAACTGCATGGTTTGAGGCAAGGTGAAGGGCTGATCGCCTTTCTGAGAGTTTCCGAGTGCTGCTATGCAGTAGAAGGGGCGGGTCCATCGGTTAAGATCAACTCAGTGATCAATCCCGGGAGGCCCGAAAAGGTGTGCGATACGTCAGGCCAGTTCGAGCAGTGGAGCGCACTGGTGAAACATGTGGAAAAACGCGGCGAACCCCGCGAGTTTTCTCTCCCCTTCAAAACAACGGCTCTCATACTCGTCATGACCCACGCGAGAGAACGGTTCGAGGATTGGCTCCTGGACTGTTTCAAGACCCCCGGTTCACTTACCAAGTAGACCTATCAATAGATGCGTCTAGGGTGCGATAACTGGGCCTTCTAGAAAAGACTGGATGCCGACGCCAAAAACAGCGATGCCATGGGCATAGGTAAATTGGGCAACGGGGATTATCGGGACGAGTCAGGCACCTGCGCGGGGACTTGCCAACGAGACAAATGAGGGGGGCAATTGGTGGCAAGCATACGATGACATATACAGCGGTTTAAACGAGACCCGAAGTCGGGGAGATGGGTGTGTAGATGCAGTTCGCAAGGGGAATAGAACAGGAACGACGACGTGCTACAGGCGCAGCCGGCTGGGCCACGTGACTCGGGGCTGCAAGGCCGAATGCAGGGGGCCAGAGCAAGTCCGATGGCAAGGGGTGCCCAGGTGGTCACAAAAGCGCCCCCACGGGAACTGCGGGCGGTGCGAAGGGTCAGGCAAACTAGCGTATGCGACAGGCGGTCAGCCAGATAGACAAGGATGCGTGTCCACGAGTGAGCGAGAATGCTACGGGCGTGGCCGGGAAGGGGCGCGCGGCCGCTAATTGCACCAAGTGCGCGAAGGGAGTGGGGCGCGCGACCGGGAGTCAAACTTGATGCAACATCGGCCGGCCGCGGCCAAAAGTTGTCATCTTTCGCGAGGAGGAAGCAAAGGATGAAGTGCGAGGGCTCGAAGTGCCGCAATTGAAATCGCTGCGAATCGCTGTGGGCTTGAAAATGGATTGGTGGAGGTAATTGGCCGGCCAGACATAGCGAGCGCTGTTCTTGGTGGCGGTCTTGAGTCGAGTGTGGAAGCAATCGTAGCGGGCTGGATTCGGGCGCTAATGGTACTGTCGGTCCACCCGCCGTTGCCGCGCACTTTCCGTAAGGGCAGACCGAGGCGTCGAAAAATGTTCGCTGCTACAGCGCCGCCGACGGCGCAGGAATGAAGAACCATAGTGAACGAATTATTTCAGGGCAGAACGAAGTGGGAGACGAAGCAGCGGGGCCGCTGCAAGTCGCTGGCGTTGTCGGGGTGTTCTGGTCAGCGAGGGAAATGGCCACGCGGGTGGCGATAATATTCCAGACAGGGGTTACCGCGGTAGATAGCAGTTATCTCGAAAGCAAGGCTTGGGGCGTGCGTCAGTCCGCCGGCGCAGTGCGACATTTGAGTTCGCCGTCCATGCCCCAGGGGTAGCGCCGAGAAGCGTGCGCAGCAGGTGGTCGGGGAAAATTGCGGGGCATATTTTCCGAGGAAGAGATTTCTTCGGGGGGGCTTGCTCCGCCAGGTCCCGTGGGCCCCAATTAACGACGGTCGGATGCTTGCGACGCGGGCGAGGAAGGCGGAGATCATGCGGGGGGCGCCGAAGTGGCCGATGATGAAGTGAGCGAAGTAGAAGACGCGTGCGCGGTTGGAGCAGCCGAATCAGCGGAGGGGGCAGCGCGCAACCCGCGCCCGAGCGCGCAGAGGGGTAATGTTGCGCAGCGCCAGCCATTGGCCGCGTTCGAACTGGCGCCCGCGCTGCTCGAGAGGGGGGGCGCGAAGGAGGGCGCCCGAAATCAGGGGCAGACTTCGTTCTGGCGAGGTGCCAGTGATATCCGCAGATTACGCGTGGCAGCAGGGCGCGTGCGCATGGGGTCAACACAGAGGCGAAGCCACTGAGGAGCTGAATCGGGCAATCCGTGCTGGTCAATCATTGTCGGGGAACTTCAGCGGTGCGGGGTCGAGTCCTAATCGGGAAGGGTGTAGATCGATTCGACGATCGTGATGCGATGTGTGTTCGGGTTTTCTGGGCGCAGAAATGCAATGCTTACGCGTGGCGGAGAATCGACCATGGCCGCCGTGAAGTGGGCTTGTTCAAGGACAATGGGGGGCGGACGAGAGCGCAGTGGGCTCCGCTCACGACGCGGAAATAACTGATGATCGCCGTGTAGTGCCATGGGTGGCGTCGCGCGCCTCGCCTTTGACGAGCGGGCTCGCCACGGGCAAGCGTGGTGGGGGGTGGGGGTGGGGGTGGGGGTGGGGGGGCGCTCGCGAGAGATGTCGTGGGCGCAGTTTTTGAACGCCGCTGCCTGAATGTGGTGACTGCGCCTCTCGCTTCAGAGCTAGCGCCGAAGGCAGGGGGGGCCGAGCGTGAAGCGGGGGTGTCCTTTGGACCTCGCGGTGCACATCGAGAACTCGACCGCGGAAACAAGCGCGGGGGAAGTGGGTCATCGGGCAATTGGACACGCAGCGTTGCGAGGAGACGAGCTCAATGAAAGGGCCGCCGCGGCAGCCGGGCCCGAGCGCCCCGGGCGGCGGAGTCAGGGGCGATCGCGACTGTGCCGTCAGCCCCTGCAGGAGCAGGGCTCAAGTGAAGCCGCATTTGTTCAGGGGAATCGTTGTAAAACGAGACAGACACCCGAATGGGGGCCGCCCCCTGATGCCGCAGATGCAGGGCTATCCCGCGAGGAGATGCCGGTCGGCGATCTCGCCGCGCAGTGCCGAGCGGGGGCCGCGCGTTAGAGAGTGGAGTCGGAGGAAGGTCACCGAACGCCGGGGAGAAACAACAGATGAGCGCAGGTCTGATGCGGTTACCAATGAAGAAATCAACAGAAATGAGGGGCATATGCGCGGGCCTGAAAAAGAGCGAGAGCCGCGAATGGCGAGTGCAGCGGCAATTCGTGAATTCGATCGTTGGACGCGAAGAGGCCTTTCTCTCGGCGAGAAATTACCAGCGCGAGAGATATTTGACCTCGAGAAAGAGATTGGCCTCACATTGCTAGGTCCATGGGTCTACTCATGTCGGGCAGGACGCGTCTCTGACGAGGGTCGCCCGCGGCGTCGACCAGTAAACGTGGGTTGCCACCGGGCCCAGTTGCACTGGGAGATTCAACGCAGCGGCCCAGTTGACAGCGCCCGTCTTGGCAGAATTTGAAGTCGCGAGTCGCAGCGATGAGGGCGATCAAAATACGAGGCCGGAATGAGTGGCTGACGCATTGCCCGGAGAGGGCCGGGCCGCGGAGGCAATCAATCGGGCGGGCGACCGAGAGGACGAAACAATAGAGTAAGTCTCTTTCGAGGTCTCATATAAGTCGGCATTTGCGAGGTTACGTCGAAATGGACTGCTGGCAAGCACGACGCGTCAATGCCGAGATGGATGAACGAGAAGCGTATGCAGATCAAGCCATATTGCAATAACGAAGCCTCCGTGCGCGCGCGCGCGTGAGCGATGCTTGTCCGCCAGTGCTCGAAACGGGCATGGCGGATCAGATGGGGCTAGCGCCGGGTGCGCGAGCGCGGCGATCCGCGGGGCGTCAACGTCGATGTTCTGAGGTCAAAGGCGAAACTTATTGTCGAGAGCAGAACAGCTGTGCTGCTTTCGGTCAGCCCAATGCTTGTTAGTTTCATCCGACTGATGAAAATTGCCCAAAGCGGATTGGGTGAAGAGAAGACCAGGGAAACATTCGAATGTGGGCTCGAGGACCTGAAGACTGCAATGCAACTATGTGAGATGCAGGGGCGTGGTGGATTGTGCTTCCTGTTTGAGCACCCAGAATCAGGCTCGAGTAGGCGAACATCGCCTTCCTGTTTGAGCCACCCCGAGGTCGAACATTTATCGTGGCGGCATGTGCAGCTGTGGCATGGCGCCCAAGTGCCATGGGTAAAAATGGGCAATGCACAACCAGCGATATTCATGGCTCCCGTGCCCTAGATCGGAT